CACGCCTGTAATCCCAGCACTTTGGGAGGACGAGGCAGGTGGATCACGAGGTCAGGAGTTTGAGACCAGCCTGACCAACATGGCAAAACTCCATCTCTTCTAAAAATACAAAAGTTAGCTAGGTGTTGTGGCATGTGCCTATAATCCCAGCTACTCAGGAGGCCGAGGCAGTGAGCTGATATCTCCCACCTGAACCCAGGAGGCGGAGGCTGCAGTGAGCCAAGATCGTGCCACTGCACTCCAGCCTGGCTGACAAAGCGAGACTCCGTCTCAAACAAAAAAAAGAGAGAAAGAGACAGAACAAAAGGGAATATAATGTGGTCAACCACGTTGAGGGTTGTCAGGGCAAGTAAGACAATGACAGAGATTTAGCTAGATGGATGTCACTGGTGACCATGGCAGGATGGCTCTGGGGGTGGGATGGACACAGAAGCCTTGGCTATTCATAGTCCCAGTTCCTGGCTATCAGAGCCCTGGCTTTCCTAGTGAGAAGGTAGATGTGGTTTACTAGACAGCATTCTAATACCACATTAGCTGCTGCCAAGAAGTCAATCAAAGAAGACAAAAAACAATCTATAGAGATACAGATGCTGATACCTTGGAGAAACTGGGTCTCTCCTGGGAGTGGAGGGGAAGGCAGCCTGTTAAAAAGTTTGGCCTGAGGGAAAGAGAGATGGGATAGTTGCTGGGAATGTGGGTGGGGGTGGACAGGTTTGGCTTGAGGAGTGTTGGAATGCTGTAGGGAAGGACTGGTGAAAGGGAGCAGTGACCCTCTGGGAACAGGCTAGGCTAGGACAACAGCAGAAGGGAGCAGAGGAACAAGGCGAGGCAAACAGGGTGTCCTGCACCCCAAATGGTCCAGGCCCAGCTGTTATGAGAACAGACACCTAGGGGTTGGGCCAGCAGGGAGAAAAGGCGAGGTGGCCAGAGAGCCCATGCTCCAAAAATACCCCAAATATCCACACAGTATAAGGCACTGGGCTGGGTGCCAGGACTCAGATGAGTCTACCTCCATTCCTGCCCTTGGAAAGAGCATGGTCACTTGGGGAGGAAAACAGCCAACTGAAATAACTCCAGCCAGGACACAGTCAACAGCAGACAGGAGGCCGGGCACGGTGGCTCATGCCTGTAATCCCAACACTTTGGGAGGCCGAGGTGGGCAGATCACTTAAGGCCAGAAGTTCGAGACCAGCCTGGTCAACATGGTGAAACCCCGACTCTACTAAAAATACAAAAATTAGCTGGGCATGATGGTGTGTGCCTGTAGTCCCAGCTACTTGGGAGATTGAGGCAGGATAATTGCTTGAACCTGGAGGCAGAAGTTGCAGTGAGCCAAGATCGTGCCACTGCACTCCAGCCTGGGCAACAGAGCAAGACTCTGTCTCAAAAAAAAAAAAAAAAGTGGACAGGACATCAGGAGTCACAGAAGAAGAAGTGACCAGCAGAGGAGACACCACTTGAGCTGGGCCTTAAACAGGGCTCAGCAAGGAGGGGCAGGATGGAAGCACCCCTGAGCATCCCTTCTTCTCTCTATAGAAGGTTGCCCACCTGGCTGGATGCAACCAGAACAGCACACAGATCCTGGTAAACTGCCTGAGGGCACTTTCAGGGGCCAAGGTGATGTGTGTGTCCAACAAGATGGTAGGTAGAACATTCCAGCTGCCTGACCTGGCTACCTGAAGGCCATCCTCCTATCCTGGTACCCAGCTACCCCCAACTACTTCCCCAGGGACCCTGTCTCAAGAGCACACTGGGGAGACTTCCTTTAACTCTGATCCCTTCCTCTCCACCACAGAGATTCCTCCAACTGAACTTCCAGAGAGACCCTGAAGAGATAATCAGGCCACATTCTGCAATTTGAGTATTTACTGAGCACTACTTTGTGCCAGGCACTTGGGATACTTAGGGAATTGTTCAGGCCAAGATCCTTTCCCGAGTGGAGCTGATGTTCCAGTGGGGAAGGACGATAAACTGTAAATAAATATATTATCCACCTCCTTAGAAGATAAGTGAATAGCAAGGAATGGAGAGGGTAAAGGGGTTAGACATGTTGGGAGGTGTGGACTTTTAAATAGAATGGATAGGACAGGACTCAGTGAAGTGAAATTTAGCAAAGATTTTCAAGAGGTGAAGGAGGGAGCTATACAGATACCCGCGGTAAGCATCCCAAGTCCACGTAGCTTGGTCCTGCCTATCCTGCTCCCCTCCCACACCCATCCTCCTGGGACTCACCATGCCAGCTCCAGTCTTTTTGCAATCAAAGAGCCTAGGCTAGAAGGGCAGCCTCTGAAGGGGCACCCTCATCCTCGCAAGGACCCTGGGAGGATACTTGAGGACACTGGCTGGAAATGCCCTTTGCCTTGTAGATTATCTGGTCCATGAGCCCTGTGGAGGATGGTGTGGTGATCCCAGATGACTCTCTGGTGCTCCTGACCCAGGGGCAGGTTTCATCTGTGCCCTACCTTCTAGGTGTCAACAACCTGGAGTTCAACTGGCTCTTGCCTTATGTAAATGAGTAGGAGTTCAGTTGGCTCTTGCCTTACGTGAGTACCACAGTGGAGGCAGGGAAGGATGCCTCTTGGACAGTGCTGGGCACCAGGTCAGATGCCAGTAGCCCTTCTGGGGATGCACATATATTTGGGAGCCTCCTGTAGTCCCTGTACAGTAAAAACTGGCCATGAATGTTGGAGGGGAAGAAGGGCAAAGTGTGGCCTGTTGGAGATTTGAGGGCCATAAATTCTCAGATCATAGTTTAGATGGCTTATGATGTTCATTCCCAAGCCTCTAGGCAACTGCAAATCCTGAAGCCGGGTTTCATCATTTTAGCCAGGATGGTCTCGATCTCCTGACCTCGTGATCTGCCTGCCTTGGCCTCCCAAGGTGCTGGGATTACAGGCGTGAGCCACTGCGCCTGGCCACACACACACTCTGTTTTTACCTAACTCTTGACTTGTGCTTCCTCCAAAAGCCTTGGTCTTTTATATCTCTCAACCTGGCACATACGGTTTGCTGTGCTTGGAAGGCCCACCCCAATACACACTTTCCTACTCTTTCTTAAAGATCTAAGTATCATCTCTGTAAAGCCCTCTGGAACCCCAATTCCCTAGGGCAAATTAAATGAGGGCAGGGTGAGAGAAAGAAGCATGATGAAGAGGAACACACGTAATCCTCTCTTTTTTTCTTCTGGGCAGAAATCCCAATGATGGAAATCTGCCCTGCTGGACACGCTACAACAAGGATGAAAAGTACCTGCAGCTGGATTTTACCATGAGCGTGGGCATGAAGCTCAAGGAGAAGATGGCTTTTTGCGTGAGTCTGTACCAGTCTCAGAGACCTGAGAAGCAGAGGCAGTTCTAAGGGTGGCTATGCAGGAAGGAGCCAAAGAAGGGTTTGCCCCACCACCCAGGCCCTGGGGAGACTGGCCATGGACATACCTGGGGACAAGAGTTCTACCCACCCCAATTTAGAACTGCAGAAGCTCCCTGCTGCCTCCAGGCCAGAGCTAGAGCTTCTGCCTGTTGTGTGGGACCTGCACTGCCCTCTCCAGCCTGACATCCCATGATGCCCCCTACCTCAATGTTGACATCCAGTTAGGCCAGGCCCTGTCAACACCATACTGTGCCCAGCTCTCCAGCCTCAGGACAACCTCTCTTTTTCCCTTCTTCAAATCCTCCCACCCTTCAGTGTCTCCTTGTGGCTCCTTCTTATGGGAGGTCGACCCAGACTGCCACTGCCCCTGTCACTGCACCCAGCTTGGCATTTACCATCCATCCTGCTCAACCTTGTGCCCGTCTGTTCACATTGGCCTGGAGGCCTAGGGCAGGTTGTGACATGGAGCAAACTTTTGGTATTTGGGATCTTCTCTCCCACCCGCACTTATCTCCCCCAGGGCCACTCCAAAGTCTATCCACAGGGATGTTCTCAATAAAGAAGTGTTGATTTGACCTGAATTTCTCCACCTATAAAATGGGTGCATGAAGTGAATGGTGTCTCAATTTGAGCCCTGGGAGAAAGGGAGTGTTGCTGCCTGTTCCTTAGTGGGCTGTGCCTGGATGCTACACTCAGTCAAGGGGTGCTACTGCAAAGTTGCCTGGGGTACAAAACACTTGCCTTTTGCCTTCATGGTCTCAAGTGCACCCCTCAGAACAGTAGGACAGCCACACCCCACGCTCACTTGTCCATCAGTTTAGGTCTTACTGCTGCATCCAGATTCCTCTGGCTTCTCTTGCAGCCCGTGCATATCCCAGCCTGTCCCACAGTTTTGTTTCATTGTTTTGTGGGCTTTTTTTAAAAGTTTTTTATTTTTTGAGACAGAGTTTCACTCTTGTCACCCGGGCTGGAGTGCAGTGGCGCAATCTTGGCTCACTGTAACCTCCACCTCCTGAGTTCAAGCGATTCTCCTGCCTCAGCCTCCCGAGTAGCTGGGATTACAGGTGCCCGCCACCATGCCTGGCTAATTTTTGTATTTTTAGTAGAGATGGGGTTTCATCACGTTGGCCAGGCTGGTCTCGAACTCCTGACCTCAGGTGATCCGCCCATCTCGGCCTCCCAAAGTGCTGGGATTACAGGCATGAGCCACCATGCCTGGCCACTGTGGGCTTTTTGGTGGTAAAATACATATGACAGATTTTACCATTTTAACTATTTTTGTTTTTTGTTGTGAGATGGAATCTTGCTCTGTCACCCAGGTGAGTGCAGTGGCGCCATCTCGGCTCACTGCAAGCTCTGCCTCCTGGGTTCACGCCATTCTCCTGCCTCAGCCTCCGGAGTAACTGGGACTACAGGTGCCCGCCACCATGCCCCGCTAATTTTTTGTACTTTTAGTAGAGACAGGATTTCACTGTGTTAGCTAGATGGTTTCGATCTCTTGACCTTGTGATCCGCCCGCCTAGGCCTCCCAAAGTGCTGGGATTACAGGCATGAGCCACCATGCCCAGCCCCATTTTAACTATTTTTACATGTACAGTTCAATATCATTAAGTACATTCACATCATTGCACAACCATTGCCACTATTCTGTCTTTAGAACTTTTTCATCATCTAAACTGGAACTCTGTACCCATTCAACAATGACTCGCTGTTACCCCCTCGTTGTAGCCCCTGGTAACCCCTATTCTGCTTTCTGTCTCTATGAACTTGACTTCCAGGTGCCTGACATAAGTACAGTAATGCAGTATTTGTCCTTTTGTGTCTGGCTTATTTCACTTCACATGATGTCTTCAAGGTTCATCCATGCTGTAGCATCCATCAGAATTTCCTTCCGTTTTAAGGCTGGATAATATTCCATTGCAGGTATATACCACATTTTGTTTATCCATTCATCCAGTGATGGGCATTTGGGTTCTTTCCACCTTTAGGCTATTGTGAATAATGCTGCTATGAACACTGGCATAGTGTTCCACAGTATTTTTGTCCCAAAGTAGTGTTGATTAGGTCCTTTATTCCCAGAGGTTCCTGAGTCTCTGGGGCAAATGGAAGCTGCATAGATCTGTGGGACAAGGCCATCTAATTCCCCATACCCCAGGATCTAACCCCCAAAGCAAAGGGATGGTGGAGGAGGGGGGAAGCCCCTTCCAAGCAAACAATCCTCACAACGACTATGGATCTTATTATCCCCATTTTACAGATGAAGAAACTGAAGCATTGAGACATTGAAAAGCCTTGCCCAAGGGCCTGAGCTGGTGGAGACAGAGCAGGAATTGGGTCCAGGCCAGCCTGAGGCACCCTGCCACCTCCATCCAGACCTGGAGCAATCCCTGAGGAGGGTGGCTACCACAGGAGATGGGGCAGCTCTAGTCTCAGGAAGCACAGCCGGAGGATGTCGCAGGCAAACAAACAGCCACTCATCAGTAAGGAGCCAGAGTGAGGGCTGCTAGTTCAGCTCCCGGAAGGTGGTCCTGGGGCAGCCAGTGCAGAACTCAGCAGGGGCTCAGCTCCAACTGAGCCAGATTTCACTCCAGTGTCCACAAGGGACGTTGTGACCTGGAGGTCCTTGGCTACTCACCCTGGGGCCTGCTGGCACAGCCCAGGAGCTAGCCCAGGCCTGCCTCTGATGGTTCCTCCCGATTTCTCTCTTGACAAAGATTCTCTCGTTGACCAAACTCTACTCAGACTTTCCTGAACTTTTTCAGCTAGGCCTGACTTTTTAGCAAGATTCCTGCTAAGTCAGTTTAACCAGAGCCCCCCATCCTTGATATCTGATCACCTTCCATAATCTAATTAAGTTCCTTAGCCTGGGCCAGGTACGGTGGCTCACGCCTGTAATCCCAGCACTTTGGGAGGCCGAGGCAAGCAGACCACTTGAGCTCAGGAGTTTGAGACCAGCCTGGCCAACATGGTGAAACCCCATTCTACTAAAAATACAAAAATTAGCTGGGTGTGGTGGTGGGTGCCTGTAATCACAGCTACTTGAGAGGCTGAGGCAGGAGAATCACTTGAACTCGGGAGGCGGAGGTTGCAATGAGCTGAAATCGTGCCATTGCACTCCAGCCTGGGTGACAGAGCAAGGCTCTGCCTCAAAAAAAATAAAAAAACAAAAGTTTTTTAGCCTCTATTATCCCCAAGGTGATGCCTGGTCACCCTGGCCTGGCTGCAGCAAGAATCCTATTGGATGGGCTTAGCCAGACTTCCCCCTTTATCTCTGATGTTTCCTCTCAGTAATTTTTCATCCACTGACCCCACCTTGCTCCTTGGCTATAAATTCTTACTTGTCCATGCTGTATTCAGAGTTGAGCCCAATCTCTCTCCCCAACTGCCTGACTGCAAAACCCCACTGTGGCAGTCCTTATGTCAATTTTTTTTTTTGGAAACAGGGTCACCTCTGTTGCCCAGGCTGAAGTGCAGTGGTGCAATCACAGCTCACTGCAGCCTCAAACTCCTGGGCTCAAGCAATCCTCTCACGTCAGCCTCCCAAATAGCTGGGACCACAGGCAGGCACTACCAGCCTCGGCTAATTTTTAAAAAATGTTTGGGTCTGACATGGTGGCGCATGCCTGTTATCCCAGCACTTTGGGAGGCTGAGGCAGGAGGACTGCTTGAGCCCAGGAGTTTGAGACCAACCTGGGCAACACTGCAAGACCCCATCCCTACAAAAAATATTAGCCAGTTATGGTGGCACATGCCTGTAGTCCTATCTACTCAAGAGGCTGAGGTGGGAGAATCACTTGAGCCCAGAAGGCCGAGGCTTCAGTGAGCTATGATCACACCACTGCACTCCAGCCTGGGTGACAGAGTGAGAACCTCTCTACCGCCTTGTCCTCCAAAAGTGCTGGAATTACAGGTATGAGCTACGACTCGGCCCCTATGCCTATTTCGATGCTCCTGAATAAAGTCTGCTTTACTGAGCTTTAACAAGGATCATGAATGATTTTTCTTGAACGCCCCTCCTCATGCTCTCTCACACGGGTCTGTGGGGAGGGCAGCTGCTTCTAAGGGCCACCTACCCAGGGCCCTCCTCCCCAAATTGGAGGAAGTGCAGCTGAGCAGGAGCCAGGGCTTTGTCGGGTCTGGGCTGGCTGTGGCAGATATGACAATCATAAAGGGCTCTGGGGAAACCCTAGAACCCTCCCTAGGAGGGAGGACAAGCCTGGGAGAACCCCAGTGGGCAGTCTGAATGCTGGGCTGGCCCCTGCCTCCCACAGCCCTGGCTCCACACCCTCCCCATACACCCAGGAAGGTGTCCCTCTTCCAGTCAGCTCCTCCCCGGGTTGCACTGCTGGATGACGGAGGCGGGAGGGCTACTTACTACTGCCCCATTGTCCCACCTTGTCTTCCTGTCCCCACTCAGGTCCTCCCACGGCCACCCGGAGTCTCTCCTGAAGCTGTTGCCAGGCCCCATTCCGCGTGGATCGGTGCGCACAACAGACTGGATCTTGGTGAAAGCCCGAGAACACTTCTGAGTCTTGCCCCCAGCCGCCCTCCCCATCCCCCGGGTTTCACACCAGCCGGCGCTACCGCGGGGACGAAAGAGTGCGGGCGCTAAGCTCTCGCGGGCACAGCGCACAGACGCGCCCCCTGCTGGCCGGGCCGGGCCGGGCCGCCCACCTCCGGCTGAGCCTGGCTCCCGGCTCCGGAAGCAGCTCCCCAGCTTCTCCCCCGCCACGCCCCCACCTTCCACCCTGGAAGCAGCAATTACCGGCCCAGGCGGCTGGGAAAGGGCCAATTAGCGCAAGAGACGCGGCTCCTCTGCGGGGCCCCTGCTGACCGCAGCCCACGCAGCGCTGCCTCCGCCGCGGGCCTCCAGGCTCCCGTCGCCCGCCCGCCTGCCGCAGCCCTCCCGGCCTGGCCGACAGCGCTGGCTGCCAGGGAGCCCCGGGGGACACGCCGTCCGGCCTCCCGCCAACTGCAGTCACGGATCCAACCGCCTGGCGCTGGCCCAGAGCCTGGGCGGACGTGCGGGCGCCGGGAGCTGAATCTCGCCGCCGGTCTCCAGGCGGGGGCGGCTCGGCCCAAGCCTTCTTGCCTTCTCATGGCCCTCCTTGCTGCTTCTGGACCTCCAAGGCCCCGTTCTGGGCTGGCCGACTGGAGCAGTTCCCCGCTGGTGGCTATGGCAGAGCCAGGCTTTGGAAACCCACGGCCGGTGCTGGATCGTGCCCCGCGACAGGCACGTGGGCAGGGTGGAGGGTGGGCAGCACAGGGTAACAAGAACTCATTAGTGACAGTGAATGCATGAACTTCCTCCCCTGGTTCCCTCCCGTGCGCAACCTGACTTACCCACCTATAGGCTTTGGGAGACCCAAGAGGGATGGGTCCTGTCCTCCAGGAGCCTGCGGGCTGCATGGGCAGAGGCTCCAGGAGCTTGGCTAGGACCCTAAGCTAAAGAAAGCCCCGAGGTCCAGGAAGGGAGGCATCGGGTGAAAAAAAGGGGCTGGAAGAGGGAGTTGTAGGGGACAGATGACACCACGTCAAGGCTTTCCCTTCCCCCAACGAACCCCCTTGCCGCTGTAGCTGGTCACACTGGGGCCCCGG